TCAAAAACAGATTTATACTGGAAAACCGATCTACATCATTTCAAGAAAAATTACTGAATTACCAAAAGACTTTTACCAAGCATTGCAGCAATTTTTGGCTAATTATTCTTTTAGATTCATTTGAAATTCTCACATGTTACGTTTTCCTGACTTTTTAAAAATTCCTTCTAACTCTTCCTAACTCTCTACTGATACGTTCTTTACCTAATCATTGGATATTTTTTTGCTGTGTTTTAAGCGCGTAATCCTACTGAATAATGATACCAAACTTCTTTGCAACCTTGCTTATTTTCTAAGCCTTTCTTTGTACAATACAATATAATAATTTTTTGCTTAAGTTGGAAAGTCAACAAAGTTTTTGCCGTCTGTGACAGCTTAAAATTCTGTAGTCAAATATTTCAAGACTTTTTAATTGTACGCGTCATAACTGACATAAAGAAGAGCTTGTTTTTTGGTCTTTTTTGAAATACTGTTTTACCAATTTTTAATTTTACTTTTTGTTCGACAAGTTCTTGCCAAGCTTATAAAACGAGGAGTTCTGACAGTATCCTCGCATTGCAAAGGTAATAACTTTTATTGACAAGAAATAAGAAACTAACTTTTATCCCTGTACGATTTTTGATTTTATGAAGCGATGAGGCTAATAGGAATAGGTTTTTCAATTTAAGAAGCCAGGGTAGTTTTTAAGGGGTTTAGATTTAATTAGACAGCTTACTGTAAGTGACTTATACCTTAGGCGAATGGGTGCTGATAAGGATAGTTTCGTTCTGCAATCAATGCCAGAAGTAGGGGATTCAAAGCAAAATTGTTCGACTCTCTACACTGCAGGAACAGGACAAAAAAGGCTAGAGATTTAAATACTAAGAGAGTTTATCAATGCGAAATTTCTACAACGAATCATAATTAATAGCAAGCGTCTAAAAAACATAAAAGTTTTGCCTTTTTCAATCTTCTTTATGTGCTATATAAAAAAGGTTCTGTTTAGAGCGGACTTTAAGAACGTGAGAAGCAAATTGGAGTTCCCTTAGGAAGTCAAAGACTCAGTGGTAGCAGATGATAATCATTCTTTAACGGTCATCATTTAGAACTATCCTTACAAGATTTTATTTTTTGATCGCGATTCTACACTTACTGAATCCCCAGTGCCGTGATTAGATGTAATGAGTAGAAATTTAACTAACTTTACAGCTGATTGAAGAGAAAGAAAAAAACTTTTATATAACTACTTTGGTTCGAATTATCAGATAATTTAAAAGTCCACGGGGAAGCTCTTCATTTCGGTCCCTAATAAGCTTAGCTAAATTTTTCCAGACAAACATTTCCTGGAACATTTAAACTTTTCTTTTTACCATAAAGAATCTCACAAGGTTCAACACTTTATAATTGCTCGAACTACTTTTTTGACTTTTGGGAGCAGTTATTTTTTCTTCTTGTTAGTCAAATTTTAAGCTTAACAGGACGGAAAAAAGGTAAATCACAACTTTTCTGTAGTCTGCAGTAAAACTAATGTTGAGCAAGTTAGTACTTTGTTATGGTTTCGTACAAAAAAGGCATAAGTCAAGTTGAAGACCCTGCTTCTTGACCAGTTCTAGTAATGAGGAAATTTCAAACAGTGGCATGCTTTCAGCAATCTGTTATATTTAAGAGCGCTTTTAAAAAGATTACTAATTGCCGTCATGAGAAAAGAGACCCCCTCAGACAAACTGTTTCAAGTTCAAAATGACTGGGGAGTTTAGAGTTGTCTTGAAAATTAAATTAAGTCAGCCGAAATTACTGGCGAGCAAAAAATTAAAATCGACAAAGGAGAACTTTTATTTAAATAATTATCATTATGGTACAGTAATTCCGAACCGTAATTTTACGTTTAAACTTAGTAATTCCATCGTCCTACTTGATTTAAAATTCTATCACCTGTCACAAATGACAACTTACTTTAATTTACCATAATTGAATTGAGAAATCTTTAATGCTTAACATATAAACGACCTGTGTAACACAAGGAATGCTGAGAAGAACGCTAATTTTTATGACGTATTTTACAGCTCCATAATCCAATTTACGCCTCAGAACCAAAATCATATTTGAGACACATTCGCACTAACTTACTGAAATAGGTCAGAGCTCCGCCTGTCTTATCATTGGCCAGTGATACATCAACTCGCAAAGTTAGTACTGACAAGGTTAAGCGACTTTTACTGCTGATGATTAAAAGTAACTTAATTTTTATCCAGCTTTCTTCATATCAATTCTCTGTGGAAATCATAGAGCATGGTATTTGCAGCAAAAAAAAAAA